TTTCATACCAGGTTATTATTATTATTAATTTTATTTATCAAATTGAAATTATTAAAATTTTATTTTAGTTTAATTATTAAAAATAATTAATAATTAATAAAATAATTGACATTTATTGTTTAATATATTAAAATTAATTTATAAATAAAAAATTTTAAACATCTTAAATAATACTTTAAAAAAATTATAATTAAATTGATAAAATTACAAGTAAAATTAATAGTCTTAACAAAATTAATGGTGCCATTACTTGACCCTCGTTTTTACATTCTCTTTAAAACTTTCTCCATGATGGGGTCATTGGGAGCATAATTTTTTTTATTGTTAGTAACAACTAACAAGTTAATAAGTCAACATATTTAAAGCATAATAATATTTTTCTTAGTACAATAGAAGCAAAAGATTTAAAATTTGAAATAAATATGTATAATATGAATATATATCTTCAAGTTAGGTACAACTTAATTACATATAATTTTTACACACCATTTATATAAAATTTTTACCATTTTTATTATAAATTGTTAAAATTTATTATAACTTTTTAAATAAAAAAGACAATTTATATATAAATAGTGAGATAAAAATATAGATAAATCTTAAAAATTCAAAGTAGAAAAATGAATAGTTAAAATGTTGATATTAATGATATATATATTTAAGAATTGTATATAAATATATTGTAACTCTATTTCTTCTCCCATTTTCCACAATGAGGAAACTAATCTACAAAAAGAAGGAAAAACCTATCTAGGAATATAAACATAGCAGTTTTTTCTATTTTTTAACATTCATGCTAGGCTGAATAGGATCTCAACATTTTATTCAACATTATTTGGCTGTCCCTTCGCGCGCAATAATGACATTCCCTTCCCTTCCCTTCTTCTCCTTGCATATATAAATATGTAAGCGGCGAAAGGACAAAACCATCACATGTTTCTTCAGATCTTTCTTTAAAGTTGAAGAAACGTTAACGTATATAACTAGAATCTAGCCATAGCAAAAATTAATTTCTCTCTTCATCGTCAAAATGTTTTCTTCTTCCATAACCAGGTTTCTAATTCCATTCCTTTCTCTTATCGGAATTCTCTTTGGCACTACAACCAATGCTTTAGTAAAGATACCGCCGAATGAGACTATTCCTGCGCTTATTGTCTTTGGAGATTCCATCGTTGATGCTGGAAACAACAACAACATCAACACCTTGATTAAATGCGACTTCGCTCCTTATGGGAGAGATTTCAATGGTGGACTCGCAACAGGAAGATTTTCAAATGGAAAAATTCCCTCGGACATCCTAGGTAATATATATATATATATATATATCTCTAGCTGTGTTCTACTTCTTTTTGATACTTTCATCTTTGTGTCATTAACTTTATGACTACATGTCATGATCTTCAACATTTTGCATGTATGCATGAGGAATATACATCACTTACAACATGAGATTTAGAGAAAATGTTTTGGAAATACAGTATACGTATCTTAGATACGTCTTTCTTTTTTTATGATAGTTTTTGAGAGTTGTGGACTCGTTTTCATCACAAAATTGAAGAAGATGAAAGATGACTGCTAGTGTATTAATGGGATGTTCGTTTGTGCCTCTCTTTTCTTTTTTTTTTTACTAGGGTAATGATTAGTAGTTAAATTAAAAATAATTAGTAACTGAAGGTTGAATAAGTGATCTCCCACCCCTCACTTAAGCACGCGATCCATCGATCCGCATGGTAGAGTTCTTTTTCAATTCTTTGCTTAAGAATTATACTTCGTTAAGAGTTGGAAGTATCACCTTTCATCTGTTTACTTTCATTCAATTCATTTTTTCACTTTGATGGATAAAAATATAAATATCTTTTTTAGTTTTGATTGCATACAATTTAGGCTGATGTATTTAAATATTTTTATTAAATTAGATTGATTAATTAAAGACATTTAATACTTTCTTAACTAAGTTTGCTCCTCCTTTTTTTTAGTTTAAATTAAAAAAATTATTTTCATGAAAAATTAAAATTGTGATTTTTAATTTTTTAGTTTTAGTTTTTTTAAATTTAACAACTCTAAATAAAAAAACTCATTTACTTTTATATATTTTTGTAACATATTATTATGATTATTAAAAAATTTAAAATAAAAATAATTTTAATATTATTAAATATATTTATATTTTTTTATTAGTATTAAAATTTATTTTAGATAAATTATTAATTATTAATATTTAATTTTTGTTATTAAAATATTACAAAAATTATAAAAAATTTAAAATTTAAAATTCCAATTATACTAAATAGAATCTTTAAATCTAGCAACATTTTTATTGATATTTACTAGAGGATTTTAGTTTTTTTCCCCTTCCGCCCACACCCACCACCCCGCCGCCCGCCGAAAGTAGAGGATCCCATTAGTGGTTGGACTTGGATATATACACTATAAATGTAGAGTATGTGTCCTTGTCCTTGGAACTTGGAAGTGACGAATTAATAGGTTGAATAGGGTACACGTCGGCCTAATAATGCAGTAATGGTGGCAGTGGATCTTGGCCCATGAAAATCGCTTGCGTTGTGTGGATGGGGCAAATGGCAATCGCATTGATTTCTCGATAGATACACATTTTTCCGAAAAAACTGTGTTAAATTATCATGACTTCGTTTTACGTGGAATCTGCACTTACAATTGTTATAGTCGGAATTAAAAATATATGGTTATTGAGTAACGTGAACGGAAAACAAACATAATTC